TACAGCTTCATTGTATTTACTCCTATAGCATACTACTCAGTTTTTCCAACAAATAAATGTAAGTCAAATGTTGTTAAGTCCATGAAATCTAGTCAGCATAGAACAAGGAACTTATGGAGCTCCGACCCAAGGAAAGAAGCCTTGATTGACTAAGGATTCAAGCTCTAGTATGATGCTGCAGTAGATAAGGACTTTATAAGTGCAGAACTACTATCCTGATGGACTATGAAACTTTACAGAGTGCCACTCACAGATACGCATAAAATATCATGTAATCTTTCAACCAGGATAGAATCAAAGACGAAAACGCATTGAATTAAACCGCTGACTGTGAAATTAAGATTGGCAATATCTAGTAGAAGATCACAAAATATATCACATTTTAATAGCTATTGGCTTCTGAGTTTTTTCATCCTCATACACAATAAAATAGAAAATAATAATTTTTAACCCACCTGTATTAACAGCGAAACACCCATACCTAGTGTTATGGTATATATTTTTAACATCAGCATTACTTATAGCGGACGAATACAGATTTTCATATTTTGCATGTGAATATGGAGAATGACACCTTTTAATACGCCGGTTTTGTGCCTATTCATGATAATAGACTGATGTAGATAATTTCTACAGAGTTTATTAATAATTTTACCATAGGTGCTAAAGTCAAAATCCCACCGTTTTAAAGATGTTTAACCATTCCTTGAATCTAACTAAGGTATGGCAGGAAAGAAATATGTTGTTAGAAAAAAAATACTTTCTGACATTGTTAGGTCTTTGCATTGATTGTTTCTGTTTCTAGATGAGGACTAACTAGTATTCCAAAAATGAAGAATGAACGAACATTGGGTTTTGAATCTATAAGAGTTGTATTTAGGCCTACAAACTGCATCGTATACGGTGTTACATGGATTAAAATACATCTTGGTTGTATCTTGAAGAGCCATTTTATATAGCCTGACACAACGTTATGAGCCATTTGCCTGTAAGTATATGCTTTCTTAAAGGGAAAGTCTAAAAACAGTGAGAGAGCTTAAATTCACGTCTGTACATCATATCAAGCATTTGAAGGTATAATCTACTATATATATATATATATATATATATATATATATATATATATATATATATATATATATATATATATATATATATATATATATATATATATATATTGTATGTGTACTTGAACAAATACTTGTAAGAATGGACACAATACCAGCATGTTAAATGTGTTATTCTCTAAGTCACCAAAAAATATGCAAATCTTCATCTTCTTAACTACCTATATCCATCTCATGTAAATCAAGCTAAAGGTAAACATTGGGCTTGTGGTCTTCGCTGTAATACTGGAGAGCTACAAATTAAGACACTAGCATATTTCGCATGTAAAATGGTGTAAAAGTCCGACTGCAAACGCTATTAAACACCAATGTATTAGTTCCCTTGTACTGATATAAGTACTCTCAATTAACTGAGAGCGGTTTGATTGAATACATGTTCGTCTCTGATTCTATCCTGGTTGAACAATCACATAACCCATTTAATGCATATTTAACAGCTCAATTATTCGGCGATGTTTCCATGCGTTTTCTTTATGATTCCATCTGAGCTGAAGAACGGTGTAACAAATGTATAAGTGCATTTCCGACCTCATTTGTGTGCATTTTATTGATCGCATTTTTAAATCAATTTACTTTGAGCTACACAGATAGCGTGGTGACATATACCGTCTTAACTAACTACATCTGTATTTAATCAAAGTGGAACAGCGTGAATAGATAAGCCCTGGCTAACGAAGAATGGCGGCAAGATGTTGGGTAATAGCCCATTTAACCGAGTTGCTCCGTAATTATCCGAAAAACCTCCCGAGGCACTTTACACTCCAGCCAATCAAACGCTAGTAGGCATCTGTACATAACAAAATGGCATACGTTGTTGTTTAGACGTATCAGATTAAAACAAATTAAGAAATGCCCGCTACCTGTCCACTAAATGTCTGGGACTTCTGCAGCTTTACCGTCGAAAAATATTCCTGGTTTGTTATACTGCGGATTAATACGAAACATTCCTTTTATTGGTAAACGAAACTCGATTTATGAAATGCGGTGTTATGGTAAAAAAAAGGGATTAAATTTTTAATATCTACTAAAATAGCGACTCTGTTACGTCCTCGTTTGATAGCCTAACACATGTTTTAGATAGCACATTAAAATGTAGATTGCCATAAGTGTAACGCGTCTCCACAGTTCCAAGATATTCTTTCTGATGGATCACCATTTTCGACTATTTTGCTCTTCAAAAGATCAATGACTCTTTTCTGTACAGCAAGTATAGCCAAAAACATTGACTAGTTTACCGGTACAAAAAAACTGTGATATCATTTTTTGGATTTTAACTCTTGCATAATTAAGTTCAATTATCACTCACGTTATGAGAAAGCGATGCTATATCATCAACACGTACAGATCTCTTCTGCATCTTAATCTTTTGTAAATTGACATTTAAGACTGGGGTTATGTTTTAAACATTTCAGTGCATTATAGCCTTGATACTGTAGCCTTTGTAGTGTCTTTGATAAACCCGACTTTTGCATAAAAAAATAACTTATTACCCATTTTCGATTTCTAGGCACAATTAATTAAAATCTGTATAAGTACAAGCAATGAGATGTTCTTGATAATAAACTTATTCAACATTTGTGCTATAATAGTGACATTATTTATTTAATATTGTTGAACTTTGAGTTTCTGTTACAGTTCACGATGGACTGCGAATCTCTCAACACCTAGCTTTGAATAGTAACATGAGTGAGTCAAAAATGCTCTCAATACGATTGAACCATTTCCTCACAAGACTCAGCAAACGTTAGAAACTCAGTGTGGCAGAGAACGATTAGGACATATTGCGTTAATTGTGCCTAGTTCAATAGCAGTGGAGAGTGATAGAATCGGCTAGACATAATTTAGTAATCCCTCATTCATTTTCAGTAGATTTTACATCCGTAATACAGTAATCATTTTGGTCTGTGGTGTCTATACTGTGGTGTCTATACTATTAAGACATACTATTCGGACATACTATTAAGACATTTTATTAAGACATACTATCAATACGTACCAGTATGATTCAGCTTGTAGAAGTGTTAATCCTTTGTATAGGGTTAAAACATTTTGACCAAGGAAATGCCTAAAAGTGCACGAGCGTATGTTTATTATTAGTAACTAAGATGAATTAATTAATCATGAGCATCAATATACATCGCAATTTTAGATGCATGTTAGCTATGTTTGCTTCATTTGTTGGTAGATTTTAGTTGTTATTTCTGTAGTTCTGTTTACAACTGTATATATTATGTAGTTTTGGTTATCGGTTTCAGTCACTGTTACACCTTTGTAGGATATTTATAAATATTTTCCTGTATATGTTCTTACATGTTCTTAATTGTTATTATTACAACACCAATGCTTTGAGTACAATTACAGTAGTCGAATGTCAAAGTTCCGTACGCATACGTACAATCTTGCCTACGTATTTGTGCATCAGAGCTCTCTAAATTGAAATTCTCAATTTTGTTGTTGGACTTAGTTTGATCATGGACTCTCAGTGTTTTTCACACGTAGTCCAAATGTTTTATGATTGGACTTCAACATAGGATATTTGTGTATGTGTGTCTGTGTGTTTGTGTGTGTGTGTGCGTGTGTGTGTGTGTGTGTGAAAGAAAGAGAGAGACCTAAAGTGCTTTACCGATATAAATTTTATATTTTAATGCTACATATTGGTGTAAAATTATGTCATTGCATTGAATCTTTATTTGGAAATATTTAATTTGTCTTATGGATTATTTTCATCGAAGTAAATGTTAATAACTAGCTATATATATATATATATATATATATATATATATATATATATATATATATATATATATATATATATATATATATATATATATATATATATATATATCTTGTGTGCGTGTGTGTAGTTGACATACACGAAAAACATTGTATGATTTGGTATTTGAGCATACATTTGTCTTTTGGGTATAAACAAGCATGATTATGTGCGTGCATATTTAAGTTAATTATTATTTTATTTTTTAGGGTCTGATACCATTTCAATGTCCTTGGAAACATATGTAAGTAACATCTGCATCGTCCTTTACTTGGTTGTAGAAAATTAACATCTGGATTTAAACAACGTTTTTGTATATTTTGAATGCATTCCTCGAAAGACACAATTAAAGTGACTTCGTGAAATAGATTATGTGAAGTGTTACTTGTTTCTAGATTAATCCGAATATATTTAACTTACTTTAAAATGGATTTATAATCAAAATGAACTCTTACTTTCCATATCCAATATTTTCTTGACAAATTCAAAGAGGTTTTCATATGAATTATTCGAAAGCGTAAATGCCATGTTTTTAAATATATTCATCTGACAGAAATCACAAGTCAAATTCAGTGTCAATATGGTCACATTCATTTTCAAATGAATGTTCGTCATTGATATCTAACACAAAGAACTTCCCTTAGAAAAAGGAAGAAGGTCTTAAATTTGAATATTCATAGAGATGTCATCTAGAAAAATTTAATTCGCAAAACACATATGAATAATAAAAGTCCTCTTAGATCTAAGTTGGATAGAATGATGATATTCCCAAGCTGACGGTCTTTCAACTGCGGACTATCGCCTTGGCGAAATTACTCGTGTGTGTGTGTGTGTGTGTGTGTGTGTGTGTGTGTGTGTGTGTGTGTGTGTGATTGAGATTTTTACGTAGCTTTAACAAATTTTCAGTCATATCGCTACGATGTCTGCAGTGAGAGCTTACAGTGATGTCCAGCACTGGGACATCATGCCGCAGCCATGTAACACGATGTCCTACTCAGTCACATTATCCTGACACCAGGCCGACAAGTCCTAACACTAACCTCTTGATGCTGAGCGCCAAGCGAGGCAGCCATTAATAGCATTTTTGAAATTCATTGGCATGATTCCGTCGGGATTCGAATTCACGATCTTTTGCATCCAAGGCAGACGCTCTACCACTAGGCTACCGGAGCTACTCTAATAAGCCTAGATTACAGGGAACGCAATCTAGATTCACATCATATAACAAACATGATTGAATACGTTTCTTTTTTAGGGTTTAGTTTGTCATGTAGCTCAATAAAATATCACATCATGCTTCTTTATCATAATATGTATATAAAGCTACTACCTATGGCTAATGTAATGTCAAAATCCATAAAACATAAAGTACAAATGTTTACATTACTATATTGGATTGATAAAATGAACTACAAAACTTAGATGGCAATGCCCTAAGAATATAACCCTGACATATCAATAAGACTTCTAAATTTATGAAGGGATGACAAAGCCTGTTCAAGTTTCATATAACATTTGAATGGAAATTGATATCAGGGTGGCAATTTATGTTAATTATATATACTTTTATACCAAAATAGAATCTAACAAGGAAAAGCATTAAAGAAAAATGTATGCACATATGACATTACTTCCAAATCAACGTAAAAAATCTGTGAAATGAAAGCCACTCGTTGGTTAAAAATTAGGCATCCATTAGGTTGAAAATTTGCACTGATTACTTGGTTATTTAATTCGTCAGCCGAGCAAAAGCCAAGAAAATGCATTAAATAAAATCGCCAACTCATTGCACTCATATAAATGCATTAAACGATTATGAACTCTTTCAACCAGAACAGAATTAGAGACGAAAGTATACTCGATCAAACCGCTCACTGTGAGATTGAAATTACAGATATGTAGTAGACGCTCACAAAATACATCATATTTTAATAGCTTTTGCCGTCAGCATTTTGACATCCTCATACACGTGAAATATTAGAAAATTCTAATTGGTAACCCGTCTGTATTACAGCTAAACGCCCATACCCAACGTTATGTCATTTATCTTTACCTTCAGCATGATATACAGGAGACGACTAAAAATACAAATACAAAGAATAGGAAGATATTTATATTTTAAAGGGGAATTGGATAATTACACGTATTAGTATACTGGTGTTGTGCCTATTCTAACAAGTGTTTGTTCGCGTAGACATACGGCATATAAATAAAACTTTACAATTTATGCAATCCTGTTACGTTTGAAATGAAAACAGTTACAAAGGTAGACATTCACATTAATAGTATATAATGTTTCAACGGAGAGAGAGAGAGAGAGAGAGAGAGAGAGAGAGAGAGAGAGAGAGAAGCAAAAATAAAATTACTGACTGTAATTGAGTTGATGTGCATATACTAATTAAATTAAAGTAGCGTTTACAATTTGAACACTCACCATAATGTGATTATATTCATGATGAATGTCTTATATAAATAGTTTATTATAATTTAGTCTCTTTGAAATGATTCTAACAAACTCATTTGCACAAATAACTGTCCATCTTTCTATTTGTCCAGAATATGTGAAATTGCAGAATAAAAAAGGATGACATCTCAAACTTTTCCACAAATCGTATTTTTGGTTCAAGTTCCCTTAAGGAACTTTCGCATTAGGATGGAATCATAGACAGTACACAAGTAAGTTAAATTAGTTACAATCAATGAAAGATTAGATTGCAGTATATGTTTTAAAATGATGTTAATTCTCGCCGCACATTGTCCCCGCCTTTAGCCTCTAACTGGAAGTAGGTCATGTTGAATATGTTGTAATAATTATATTGTGTATGACGATGGTTAATTAAAATGTTAGAAGTTGTACCCAGTTCTATTTTATCACATTGTGACAATAAAATCTATTTAAATTCAATGTTTCATATTCGGTAATCTCTGACATGAATTGTTGAATACCAACTATAAAATAACACCGGAATAATTAGCTCAAGATATATAGAACTTACACTGTTTTTAAAAATTTGTGTTTCGTCAAATGTCGTATCAAAATTTGACTAATTTCTCGATTCATGAAAGGAATAAGAACATACGAAAATATTTCGCCATTAATATTCTATATTTTCAACATTCACACACACATACACAAACACGCACACCCTAAGATCAGAACAATCTGCATCGTCCATACTTTATCTGAACTCTTTATACAGTGCTAGCTTCGTAAGCATGTCCAGAAACGGCAGTTTTTCTAGCATGATAATATAGGTAGGTCCACAAATATCCCCTATGATGACAGATTGTGCCCTTTTGTGAAGTTATAGAAGAGGAGTTCCACTATGCTTTTACGTATACCTTGAATAAAAATTTGAAAATGCATATTTACCATTATACATTTATAGTATTACAAATAAGTTTTAGAACTTTATCCAGATAATAAATAAGAATGTTAATATTCTACATTATTTTGCTATTTATCTAGCACAATCTGTAAAAATGAGAGAATCAGTATGTTAATCCTAGAATTGTCATTATTTTGTGTCGCACCTTATTTTTTAATACTTGCTTGTAATTTTGGCTCATGGCCTATGTTACTATATATATATATATATATATATATATATATATATATATATATATATATATATATATATATATATATATATATATATATGTATGTATATGTAAGTATAAGTATATGTATGTATATATATAGTAACATCTATATAGTAACATATATATATATATATATATATATATATATATATATATATATATATATATATATATATATATATATATATATATATATATAAGAGTATTGGTAGAGTTCAGAAAATCAATATATACAATACTGTAGAGATGTGAATATTTATGATTGACAGTTTAACTAGTGTATTATACCTTGTGTGGGATGACAGTGTATTTAATGTTTTATCAGTTAGAGTTATTAAATTCAATTATCCTCGATATACGCATCAAATAATTGCGATAGCTTTAGCTGAAACGAATAAGAGTCACGGACTATCTAGCCTGTAGTATAAAACACGAGTGAGTACACCATACGGATAGTTAAGTGGTTGATATTAAACTCGATATAATGTACTCAGGCTTTTGTTACGGTGTACTTTATTGAGACTATTTGGCCATACATATATGAGGAAATGTATGAATAAATTTTAAATACTTAAAACACTTTAATGATATCATTTATTTCAAGTTACCTTTTTATGGTTTCTATATTCATTTTTAATCTCTAACTTCTACCATAGCTTAAAGTTTCAGATGTATGTTTCACATAATTTTATTATAGATGTTAGTATCCTAATCTAGCCGTTTTTTATTAAAAAATTATTCCATTCTTAAAATATAACTCAAGTTTAGAAGGAATTACATGTTTTGTTTGGAAAAATACTATCTGGCATTGTTAGGTTTAAACCATGATCAAATCTTCAATCGCCGAAGTCGCGTGTAATTCCGAACTTCTCCGGAAATTGTCCATAAACAATTAATTCTGCTAGAGACCTACCGAAGAGCAAGAACATTCGCACATGACAGACAAGGATGGATGAGACATCGGTCCTTTTTTGCGAGGAATTGTACCGAAAAACGTGCATTAAATACAAGAAGGACTCGGGGTGAACAATGGATGGTGATCATCTGGTTGCTTGAATATATATATATATATATATATATATATATATATATATATATATATATATATATATATATATATATATAGAGAGAGAGAGAGAGAGAGAGAGAGAGAGAGAGAGAGAGAGAGAGACTGTATTGGTGAACTCAGTTATTCAGTTCGAAACTGCTAAAACCCAAAACAAGTTTCGTACAGCAAAAATATATTTGTCCAATGAAACTGAATGACAGATCGAAGATATAAAAACTTTCCTGACGTAATCACAATACTGTAAAAACAAATTACTCAGGTGTTGAAACATTGAAATCTACAACATCAAAATAAATAAATTAGGTTGTCGCTAAATGCAGACTATAACTCTTTGTTGACAACAAAATTTATACTCTAACTTATATACTGTACTTACAGTATATGTTGCTTACAGCGCGAATCTATAACCATACAGTTCATGTGTAGTCTTTCCCGACGGAGATTCTATGGTGGTACTCTAAATGGATCGACTATGGTGGTTAAGATTAGGTATTGTTTTTCTTTCTTTTATTTTCGTTTGGAATTATATAGTTCGCTCTCAAATACTTTATAAAATAGGTGTGCTTCTGCACGATCATCAAATCAGGTGTTTCAAAATGCCATCGGCCGAAAGTTACTTTGGTTACATTAATTATTGTCTTTATGTTTTGTACTCAGTCTCTAAGACCTTTTGTGCAAACATTTTATTTCCTCAACTATTACTCCTAGAAATATAATGTCAACATGCTCATTTATGTACAGTTTTGCTTCATTAACGCATTCGTGATTTTTCATTGCATTAGAGGCTTGATTTTAATGGTTTCGTTTTCAATTTTTACGTAACCATCGGATATAACATAAAACAAAATTTGTAAGTGTCTACATTTTCTTTAACTGCTATTTGCAGATGCAAACTTATTGAATGCAAGCTATTTGTTTATTTCTACCTACACCTGACTGGTAGTAGGAGCTATATTGATGATTTTGTGACAATCTATATCCATTTACCCATTTACCCTGTTCACTACTGCTCTTTGGGACTTTACGAAGTCTAAGCGAGTCTACTCTTTTATGTTATGTTCCCATCTCTTCTTTCTGCCTCGCTTTCTGTTTTACTCACTGTGCCCTGTAGGATTGTCTTGTACAGGCCAGATGAACGTGACATTTAACCATATCATCTTAGTTTGCATGTCGTTGATTTGGTGAGCAGATCTTCATATGATCCAATTGTATTTTGGATTATAATGCGCATGTCCTCATTAGAAACGTGGTCTTAGTATGAAATAATCAGAATGCTTCGATAACATCTCATGTGTAAGGCATTAATTCATCACTTTATATCTTCTGTCAGGGTCCATGACATAAATATGGACGTGACGTACGAGCGCATAAACTTGACTTTCGACCCAAGATTGATGTTTTAGTTCTTCCCATTTGACTTGAGCGTGTCCAGGTGTTGTCTGTGCAATTGTGGAAACAACCTCAGATTGGATATTTCATTAGAGGCGATAGCACCGAGGT